AAAAAAAAAGAATAAGCTTATTTACTCAATGAATGGGGCCTTCTAAAATTCAAATCACTGTGTGCATCAAAAACTTTTTTCCATGGCAGGGGAGTAGGGAGGAAAATGTGCAACAATGAATGAATGAAAAATTCAACTTTTCTGTGAATTTTCATTAAAAATATAACAAAAAACTTTTTAAAAACTCACCCGCTTCCAAAAGAGTGAAAAGAAAGCTCACAGAGTAGGAAAAATCATTTAGCAATGATATTTCAGACAAGGATCTCATAACTAAAGTTTACAAAATATTTGGTAGTCTAGTGATAAGAAGCTGCATTGCAATCCCAAAGGCACACAGTTCAAATTCAAAAATATAACCTCTGGATGATATACTGCCTCTAAAAACCCACTAGAGGGTCAGCTATGGGTCTGTCTGACTCAAAGACACACAACAATGAACAACAATAGGGCCTCCACAAGAAAAAGACTGATAACGCTATTACAAAATGGACAAAAGGCATGAAAAGACTCTTCTCATGGAAAGATATTCTAATGGTTAACAGACACATGAAGAATAAGCTCATTTAGGAAGTTGTTGGAGAGAGGGAAAAAGAAGAATTGCACAATGACCAAGGGTAAGAAACCAACAAAAAGATGGGATGAACTTTCATGAGAAAGAATAACTGATGGAGTCAAGTCCTTAATGAAGAGCAGTAGAATATTGAACCAAATTAGAATAATTGGGAATAATATGGCTCAGAGCCTTGTAATATGACTCTGAATTATTGCTAAGGAAAGTCCAAGTACCTTAGACATAAAAATATTCAATATCAACAAACTTGAGAAAGTTTTTCTAGTGATTAATCTTTCAAGTTGTGTTAGTTGCTTGTTTGTAATATTTTTCATTACCTTAATTAATGGAGTTCTCCCAAAAAAAAATCCAAAAAGATAAGCAGTTATGTCATTGCAGATAACACTTGATATTGGAACAAGGAACCTTTAAAAAAATCAGCAGAAAAAGGTTGGAATCATTAAATTATAAATATGTATAGACATTATGATTTATAATCCAATGATTTACAGTAAACCAATGAGATAAAAATATAGTATATAATGTGAAATTTGTTAAAATACTACTGGAAATATTATTAACCAAATATGTCCATTTAGCAATTAAGCTGCACAAAAAGATATACATCATATGATATCAGGGAGACTACTACTAATGAAAATATTAAAGAACTAACTTTTGCAGTTAGGGATATTTAAATTCCAGTTTTATGACAAAAAAGTTATAAGAGTACAGAGAATAATACAGTTAAATTGAAAGTTTATAAAAAAATAAAATCATTCTTTAAAAATGGAAGAGTTACTTGCTTATATCAAGTATGATAAATGTCTACTAAGTTCTTAATGCAATTTCTTTTACAAGTACACAGAACCATTTTTATTCTATAATAGCCTTCAACTGCAAGGAACTGCACTACATATAAACATTTTTTTAAAAAAAAGGAAGAAGCGCTGGTGGCCTAGTGGCAAGAAGTTGTACTGCAATCCCAAAGGTACACTGTTCGAATCCACCAGATGCTCTGCCAGAGAAGGAGGGACAATCTCCTCCTGTACCAGTCAGATCTGATTTGACAGTACATGCACAAAAAACAATAAAATTAAAAAAAAAAAAAAAGGAACAAACCAAAAACCTCAAACTCATTGACACTGAGTATCAGGCAACTCATGGCCAATTTCCAAACTCTACAGGACTGTCCCTTCTTTCTCCCCTACTGGATGCCCTTTGTTCTTTGAGTTAACAGCACAACCCCCTCTTGTCTCATCCACCAGGCTTCCTATTTGTTCACTGTTGCACACACAACCTGAAAAATCTTGGTTAGAAAAAGTCAAGCTGTCAATGAGGAAATAAACTATTCTTGAGAAAGCACAATAATTATAAAATACTTGGGATTAAAAAGAATGCATAGAAAAAATATAACCATGTTTTTTAAAAAATTTAAGCTTTTTCTTTAGTCTAACAAATATTCTATTGTTCAAGTTATTATGTTAGGTGTTGACTTAAAGCAACCCTATACATAAAGGAGAATGAAACATCATCCTCACAACCACTGTTACATTGGAACCTATTTTTGCAGCTGTTAAGCTGGATGCAGTTCATTGAGAGCCTTCCTTTTTTTCACTGACTTTTTATCAAGTCTTTTTACCAAGTTGTGGGACTGTTCTTACAACTGGGTGTGAGCTGATCAGATTCAGCCTCTTATTTAAAAAGGCATTTGGGCCCTCAGGACTGTGGCCCTCAGGCCTGGTTTTAATTGTTTTCATTCAAACATCCTTCTAAGTAATACAGCACTGGTCTGTCAATTTGGAGGTAACTTGTGGTTGCTGTGATGGTAAACACTGATGTGTCAAACGTGATAATGGTTACCCATGGTGGACACTGTTTGGTGGAACTCTTAGATTAAAACAGACTTGGAAGCAGAAGTGGCATCCACTTCCAAAATAGCATGCCTCTGGAAACTCTATGAACTTCGAGAAATGATGAAAGTTATGCATGTTAAGTACTGTCATTCATAGGTTCGCTATGAGTCGTCTATGACAGCACTTAACAACAACAACAATTTTACCAAGTCTAACAACAACAAAAATGTTTTCTGAATCTTCAAAGCACTGATCTAAAGCAAGTAATTCCTCATATTCAAAATATGGAAGCCCACTCTTATTTGACTTCAGTTGAACCTACCTAGCTTTGAATGAGAAAAACGCACATTGCTGGCAAATAAACCTCAGAACTGACTCATAGCTGACCCTCTATATGGGTTTTCAGAGGCTGGAAATTGCACAGGTGGTAACTGGGAATTCCAATAAACAATAACCTCTTTTAAAAGTCTATGCCTTGTAAAAAGTTACATTAAGACTTGTTAGCAACTAATAACATAATTGGTTAGAACGTTTATTTGAAATTTGAGTAAGAAAGGTTTCTAGTTGTTAATGAAGCATTTTGTGTTCAGCTGTTAAGAAGTAAGAAAAACTAGGTAACATACAAGAACAACAATTAAGATAGGTCGAAATACGGAAGACATTATCCAGTGTTAAAGAGCTTTAAAAACGCTATGCTATCACAAATATAAAGCATAATATTGTTCCCTTACCATATCATGCCTTCAAACAGATTTTGGATGACAAGATGTGACTGAGTAACAGTTATCAGTAAAGTGACATGAGTCCATGCGAACTGTTAATAGCCCAATAACACAACAGTTAGTGAACACAATTTATCAGAGCAGCTAAGGAAGCAACAGCAAATTCAAAACACAAATGTCTTGCATGACTGACTTTTGGTAAAAACTTACACCTGTAGTTAGTAAATAAAATTCATTTTGTTGCCTACTACAACTGCAAAGTAATTAAGACATTTAAGAAAGTAGATTTAATTTGTACACAAATGGAAGCCTAATAATATTGAGATATACCATCATATTGGGGAAAAAAACCCTACACCAAAAAAAATCAACCTGTAAAACATGAATCATGAGCTTGAATCAGATGGTTAAAATGAGAACAAGAAATTTGCTGTTATTATGACATATAGAGAAGAACTCAGGCTGCATTCTGTAATTATTAAAAATGTTAAAGACTAATTCCTTTGCAGAGGTCATTACAATAATTTTTCTGGTACAGAGTTCTAATTTCAAAAGATACAAACCAGCAAGGTTCAATTGCTCTTAAACACCAACTCTACTAAATGAAAGCTGATCTTTACATATCTGATCAAGGACAGTAATCAATTTAAAATGTTTAAAGCAAACTCTATTTCATCGATCCCAGATAATCCCAGAAAGATGACCACTTAAGTGCTTTTCAGAATCATCATTAAGAGTAGAACAAGATCAAAGAGAAACTAACATTTCCATGTATAAGTTTTATAATTTTTACTAGGATTTTTAAAAAATTACTTCGCAATTATTAACATTTTTATTTATTCATAAAAATACATTTTATTTTACCTGCTTGAAAGATCTAATTCTAATTTAATCTGGTTGCTTTAAAATGCCTAATTTTGTTCCAGGAGGCACTATTTATATTTTCTCAGGAGAAGCTATTTTTTCTATTTTTTTCTAAGTGTTTATGAAATTTTCACTAAGAATTTTACTTTCAGACCCCCTGAGTTAGAAGCATAAAATATTATAATCTCTCATTTATAATGCCCAGCAGGATATATATATATATAAATAAAAGAACAAAAAAATCCGTTAAAGGATAAAAATAATAAATACATCCTAAATCCAAAATAAGTCTTAATAAAACATGAATTCATAGACAAAAATAAGTAATAATTTATAAAGAAGTCAAGAGAATTTTGTCTTATAATTGGCTTCATTTTAAAGATAAATGTATCGTGTATAATACTAAATTCAATAAAACTTTCAAACTTTGATGTACTGAACAAAATATCTTATGCTGAAAATAATTACATAATGTATGTCTGATTAAAACTACCAAGACATTAGAAATTCAGCTCTGTTTTACACTTAATGTCAAGAACAAGTAAACATAACCACTTTCCATACGAGAATATGGATAGTAAGCAGCAAAACCTTTCAAATTTTCACAAAATTGAAGAGTGCAAATAATTTAATTTTCATTTTTCAGTCTTTGAAAATTTACAGAGAAAAAACATTTGAAGGAACAATGGTGGGGGAGAAGCAAATTTTATTGTTTTATACTTAATCACCAACATAATTTTAAATAATTCCTTACAATTCAGAAAATACAACAAGTAGTAGATTAGATACTTTCTTCCACTGGAAAAGAAATTTTTTTGGTAAAAATTGTTATTTGTGGAGAGACTATGGAATAATAGTTAATACATACCATATAAAACTGCAAACGATAATGTTTCTTTACCAAACTCAGTACAAACATGCAGAAACCTGTTCAGGAAGAAAAAAAACAGGAGCTTGTTGTGCAATTTGGGACATACTGTAAGACTCGCCAAACCCAAATGGGCTTAAATTCTGTCTACTATATCGACTTATATTTTTGGCACCTAGTCATATGCCTTAATGAGAAGGAATGAGGCATCAGGATCAGAGGATCAACCTGTCTTAGCAGATGATAAAACTTTATTTTGCTGAAAATGAGGACTTGAAATGTCTGCTGCAGAATATCAAACACTGCAGTCTTCAATATGAATTGCATCTTAACATCAAGACAAAGGGAGCTCTGGTGGCCTAGTGGCAAGAAGCTGCACTGCCATCCGTGAGGTGTATGGTTTGAATCCACCAGGTGCTCTACTAAAGGAGGGGACAATCTCCTCCTGTACAGTCAGATCTGATTTGATGGTACACACACACACACACACACACACACACACACACACACACACACTAAAAACAAACAAACATCAAGACAACAAAAATCTTCACCAATGAGCAAATAGGCGACATCATGATAAACTGTCTGAAATTTCAACAATTTCACCTTGCTTGGATACATAATCAAATGTGTTGAATTGGGAAAGTCTGCTGTTGAGGACATCTCCAAAGTACTAAGGAGCAATGATGTCAGTTTAAAAAATAAAGTGTGCCGGATTCAGGGCATGGTCTTTTCAGTTGCTTGCTATGCATCTGAGAGTTGGAATATGAATAAGGACAACAGAAGAATCACTGGAGGAGTGTACTGAGTATCCCATGGACTGCAAAAAGAACAAAGAGTTATGTCTTGGAACAAGCGCAACCAGAATGCTCCTTGGAGACCAAGGAATGACAAGACTTTGACTCATATTTTGGACATGCTGTTAGGAGGTACTATTCCTTGTAGAAGGATGTCATGCATGAAAAGGTGGAGACAGCAAGAGAGAGAAAGACCCTCAACGAGATGTACTGACACAGTGACTACAGTAATAGGCTCAAGTATGTCAGAGTTGATGAGGATCTGTTCTTGATGAGCCATACTGAAGGTCATTATGAGTTGTACTCAACACGACAGCACCTAACAACAACTCATATGTCATCATTCCCACTATCCTACATTAAACATTTATGATAAATTTCTTGAGGGACATGATCTTGTATTTTCCAAAGTACCTAATAAATGCATTCTATGGCACAGGCTCAATAAACAAGCTTGCATAAGAACTCTTATAAAAGTCTTTCTTATTGCTTCTTTGTTATCAATCAAATTCAATTGACAAAAAAATTACCTTAATAACAATATTTTTAGTTCCTACTCAGTGAGTTATTTTGTGTACCAGTAAATCATTGGATGTTGTAGGCACCAATGAAGAGCAGATTATCAGAGTTAGAAAAATTTCAGTCTAATAAAACTCAATCTGAGTGAATGAGCTAAGCTCTGTTTTTGGAAATAATGTTCAAAGACTTGTACTTCCCAAAATCATTTGACCACTGCTGTTGTGATTGCTGGATACCGGTGAGGTGGCTATAACTCACAGCCATCCTATGTACAACAATCCTGCCTGATCCTCACCATCTTCATACTACTAAAACCATTATTCTGATCACTATGTCAATCCATCTCATTGAGTGTCTACCTCTCTTTCACTGACCTGATATTTTTCCTAGCATGATGTTCTCCAGGGACGGATCCTTCTTGGTATCATGCTGTGCTGTTAGCCTAAAAGGGGGCTTTTTTTTAGCCATTACAGTTAGTCCTCTTGGGTGTCCAGTTACCTAAACTGGAGACACATGGTCTTGCAAATTATCAACAGGTGTGGTACTGCTGTTGTTGTTAGGTGCCATCGAGTCATAGACGACTCATAGCGATCCTATGAACTAAAGGCTGTTTGACATGTAGGTGTGGGACTAGGATAAGAGTGTGTTTACACACACAGGGTGGCAAGACTTGAGGGAGACTGGAGCAAGACCTTATTGGTGATACCCTGTTGATGTTAAAGAGACTGTGGCATTGCTGTGGAGAAACTGTGGCAAGGTGTAAGCAGAAGCCCTGCAATAAAGACCACAGTTAAAGCTGTTTGTTGTTCTTGCCAGATGCTTGAAAGATAAGCTGACTTATAACTTGCTGGATGCTTGTTTGCTTGGAGGTAAACCTTGCTGGATGATCTGGATTGACTGTTGAACTGAAACCAAAGCCTGGACTAATTGAGGAATTGTGCTTTGGAACTTGGGCTAAAACCTGGGCTGGTACTGGCTGATAGTCTTTGCCTCTCCCACTCTCCAACTTTCATCCCTAATAAAAACCATTTTTGGTAAGGTAATTTTGAGTCTGTGAGTCAGCAATGAATAAACGAACCTCCTGCTGTTGGTGTGGCTCTAAAGGCACAATGCGGTTGTGGCATGGGTTCTTTATTTGCCTTCTATTCAGAGGTAACTTGTGGTTGCTGTGATGTTAAACACTGTGAAAATGATGTGTCAAATGTGATAATTGTTACCCATGGTGGACAGTGTTTGTTGGAGCTCCAAAATTAAAACAAGCTTGGAAGCAGGAGTGGCATCCATTTCCAAAATAGCTTGCCTCCAGAAACTCTATGAACTTAGAGAAACGATTAAAGTTATACAAGTGTTCGGGTCTTTCATTCATAGGGTCACTATGAGTCACCTACCACTTGAACAACAACATTCTGAGGCAGCAAGAGGCTAGGCTATTACTCTTTCTGGACCTTTCAGAGAGATGCTCATGATCATGTGTCCCCTTGGCCCATTTTTTTCCTCCTTAGACACATGCCTAAGTATGTGAGACAAAGTTACACCATTCCCGCTTCTAAGGAGCCCTGACCATTGCAATAGTGCTAAAATTTCAACAGTAATATTTAAACATTACAATATTACTGTGTACTAAACATATTAAGTGCTATGGTTGAACCCATAGTGACCCTATGAACAACAGATCTGAACCTGTCCTATCCTGTGCCATCCTCACACTTTCTGATACTTTACAGCCCAATGCATCAGTCACCATGTCAAATCACCCAGTCAAGGGTCTTCCTCTCCTTCACTGACCCTCAACCTTTTGAACCATCATGTCCCTCTTCAAAGGAGAGGATAGCCCCTCCTAGCAACATGCCTGAAGTATGTGAGGTGAAGCCTTATCATTCTTGTCTCTAAAGAGCGCTCTAGCTGCACCCCCTTTAAGACCTATTTGCTTGTTCTTTAGGCAGTCCATGGATGTTCAGCACTCTTCTCTAATGTCTTTTAAAAAACATTATACTAGTTCATTATTTTCCAGAACAGACGCTTCCAATTTCCCTCACCCCCTCCACTCATCAAATTGTACAACCCCCATTATTAATCCTCCCACCCCCATACATCCTCATCCTTCTGCTTCCACTCCACTCCCCCTTGGATACTTATTCTACAGAAATGGTTTTATACAATATTTCTATTAATCAGACTGAGTTAGCTCACCTAGCATAATGCTCTCCAGTTCCTCGCAAGTTAGGTAGTAATTTACAAAGTCATTGCTCCTGGTGCTGTAAAGTAGTATTTGCATAGTATTCCGCTGTGTGAATGGACCATAATTTTTCAACCCATTCATCTGTGGTTGGACATCTGGGCTATTTCCATGTTCTTGCGATGGTGAATAACACTGCTACAAACATTGGTGTATATTTCTTCAATTTTTAACTCACCACAAGATTGCACTTTATATAAATATAGGACTGTAGTGGAGTTGACGCCAACACAAAGCAGTCCTATATACAACAGATCAAAACTCTGTCCAAACCTGCACCACCCTCACAATCTTGGCTGTGCTTAAGCCCACTGTTATAGTGACTGTCAGTTCATCTCACTGAGGGTCTTCCTCTCCTTTGCTGACCCTCTACTTTTCCAATCATGATGTCCTTTTTCAAGAGCTGGTCCTTCCTGGTAACATCCCAAAGAATGTGAATGATGTTTCACCATCTTCATCTCTAAGGAAAATCTTTTTCCAAGACAGATTCCCTAGGTTACAATTCAAAGGCAATGGCTTTGTTTTGGTCTTCCTTACTCACTAACTTTCACACGCACATTAAGCAAATGAAAGTGTCATGATTTCAGGTATGAGTACTTCAGCCTTTAAACTACCATCTTTGCTCTTCAGAACTTTAAAGAGGTCCTTGACAGTAGATCTGACTAATGTAATATATCTTCTGATTTCTTGACCGTGCCACCAATGATTTTGATTGTGGATCCAAGGAAAATCCAATCACTGACAATCTTTTCACCATCTATCATCATGTTGCCTATTAGCCCAGGTGAGAGTATTTTTGTTTCTTGTTAGCTAATACTTAATAATGGCAATATTCTCATTGTGATATCATATCCTTATTCTATTTTATTATATTTTATTTCATTGTATATGCTATTCTTTTTTTAAAAAAATTATTTTATTATTTTTTGTGTGTACCGTCAAATCAGATCTGACTGGTACAGGAGAAGGTTGTCCCTCCTTCTCCAGCAGACCATCTGGTGGATTCAAACTGCACACCTCAAGGATTGCAGTGCAGTTTCTTACCAGTAGGCCACCAGAGCTTGCCGTATATGTTATTCTTAAACTATAGTTTTCTTAAAATGTTACCACCGAGATACTAGACAAAGTGTTCAACAGATGTATTATTTCTCTTAACTCTGTGTGAATGCCACAACATAAAGTATATTTTAAACCACTAAATTGGATACAAAAGTATTTTCATAAAAACCGACTCCCATTGAGGGCATTCTAACTCACAACAACTCTACAGGGCAGAGAAAACCTTTAGTGGAAATCTTTACGGAGGCAGACTGCCAGTCATATCTTCCTCTTGTGAAACAGCCAACCTTTGCTTTAACCATGCATCATGAGAGCTTATTTTTGAAAAGACAACTGTCAAGGACACGTTTCAGGGCTAGTGTGCAGTATTTACTTTGTTTTCATCTATAGCCCATTTGGTATTAACTGTGAGGTATAATAATCTAAAAGAGACCCTCTGGTGCCA